AATTAAGTGAACCCTGAAGTCTTGTTCATCATAATATTGTTTTTAATCTTTTACAATTATTATATTTTATTTAAATATTTTTATTCTTAATTTTAAAATTCATCTTTTAATTTAATTTCTCATTGTGACAACTCTTTTTGTTGATTTAATATAGATTCCCTTTAGATACATCTAAAGCTACGCTACAACAACCGCTTAGCCAAAGAGTATTAATTTTGAGGCGAGACATCACTCAGCCCCTGGAGAAAATGAGGTCTCTCAACCAATTCTAGCAAACCTTCCATTCCATCAAATTTGAATATTTTGACAGTTCCCAAGGCCAATGAGAAGCAGAAGTTGATAGGAAGAGACTTCTTTTCTTCTTTGTCTGAAGCAAAATTAGCAAGATGAATGAAAGAGTGCAATACACTGATCTATATATAATCAGAATTTAAACTTTGATAAAAGAAGAAATTGCTTGCAATTATGTCATTATGCTGCAAAACATCACTTTAACTTTCCCAGTAGATTTTTAGAGACATTTTGGCTTGTAACTTAACTATCAGTTAATATAAAACAAATATATAATAGAAGTATGGTGCATATAACTTGCTGTTGCTTTAAACGGAGGGTAAGAAATTCACCCTAGATTAATCAAGAATAGAGCAATCAGCAAAAGATTAATTACCTCTGTAAAATTAAGTTCGTATGCATATACTCCTTTCTTCAATCCTCAATCTGTATCTTCCTTATCCACCGTTGTCTCAAAAAGGGCACTAGAGAGATAATATATGATCAGATGGACAAGAAGGTGTTGAAATGATAAATGTACTAAAATAGTGATTCAGCCAGATATGAAGATCATAAAATGAATGTAAAGAATTAGATTATTATTTGGCTCAAGATCTTTGGGATAAAAGGATTCAACCAGACATTAAGATCATAAAACAAATGTAGCTGTTCAACCACCAGCCTAATTTAGATAAATAAATAAAATATGGTATGAAGGGATCGCATTGAGAAATATAGATTTAACATACCTTTGAAAAATCAAGATCTTCGGGATAGCACAATCTGCCCATTGATTCTGATCCTATGAGCGTGGCAAATAGATAACCATTTGTGGCTGCCTTCTTGAGCATACCCCATTAATTTGGGACAATTGTTTATGTCAAGAAATGTTAAGTTCGACAGCCCAATTGGGATAGCCCGCAATTTCAGACATGACTGTATGCCAAGTACAGAGAGATTTGGACATGCAAATCCATCTTCCCACCATGTTTTGAGCTCGGGGCAATCTCGAATATGCAACTCCTCAAGGCAAGGAAACACGACCATGCCTTGTGCTTGTGTCCATTTCTCCAGCTTTGTCATGTTGCGTAAAGCAAGTTTTCTCAAAGCTGGAAATGGTAGGATTGATTCTGCTTCACCTTGGCCGCTGCTTGCCCACCATGTTTTGAGCTCGGGGCAACCCCAAATAT